GATGAATGTGATTGCGTGTAATTATACAGCTGTGTTCGTACACCTGAGGATGACCTCTTGAGGTCGAAACATGTAGTGTAATAATAATAAAAATATGTTGTGTGGTCGGTAAAATTGACTCTAATATTGAGAAGTCAGACTACTCGTATCTCGAAGAGGAAACCCCATTTGAAAATATGCAAATTGTGGAAAGAACAAAAATATGGCAATTTGTTCCGAAAGGGTCTGAAACAAAGACTGAATGTGCTGGCGAAGACCAACAGCAATTTATTGACCTGCTCTTAAGTGAATTACAGTTCAGTGTGCAACGTTCTCTTTAGAGCTACTTTCGTAATGAAGCTTCATATTCAGAACTTAACTGCGTTGAAATCTCGGCGCAGGTACAATTTCAACCTGACTGAAGTTCTTCATGACTTTCCTCAGTCAGTCCAGGCAAATGCCGGGATAGTGCCACAGATTAGATCATGAACGCTTCCTTCTAAATCCTTTCTAATCTATCATTCACTAAAAGTCCTACAATTCGACGCTAAACAATGTTAGCTAGTGACAGAGTCTTTAAGTAGGCCTACACAAAGGGTGAAAGAATAACTGAAACTAAATAATTCCATGGATCAAAGTCCTTCTTGAGAAGATAACAGTTTCTCTGCTAGTCAAGATATTTCCAGGGCTCCTGTGGCCGTCAATAGGCCCTGTTCCGGGCCGGAGGAATCCAGTCCACAACATTCCATTCTATTTCTCTAAGATCCAGTTCTGCACTATCCTCCCACCTACATCCACGTCTTCCTAGTGGTCTATTTCCTTCTGGCTTTACCATCAAATCCCCTTATTGCATTCCTCTTCTTCCCCAAGCGAGCTGCATGCCTGGCCCAATTCATTCTCCTTGATTTGACTGCCCGAATAATGAAGAGTTCCATCTTCTGGGGTACAAGGCCATGTCATATGTCGAATGTCAAATCCTGCATTCCCGAATGATAGTTGCCGAAGAATATAAGTGATGGAGCTCCCGACTATACAGTTTTCTCCACCTTCCTGATGAATAAATATTACGAGATATTACAATTCAAGAATAAACAAGAATTATAGGCAAGTAACAGTTAATAACACTACACGCAGTTCGGCTGAAGAGTAGTGCTATAATTTTGTTAGACTGAAGTCCTCACGATGGGAACTATGAAGATGAGCGTCTTCTGGGTTGTAGCGTCGTGTAGTTCGGAGATAGCCCAACGTTTCGGAAGAATGTACAGCTTCGATCCTTAGGGTCGAGAAGTAATATGCTCAAGACACCATTAGAGCAAGCTGGGCTCAGCTTGCCTCCCATAGGTCGGGCATAACACTCAGAATTACTGGGTTTTTGGACTTTGCCCATCGTCCGGTATTCCAAAAGCTGGAGAAGGGAACGTTTCGGAAACTGGATCTGTTTCCATCCTCAGGTGAGTGGGGAGACACCTACTGTTTTCTCTAACGCCCAACAACCCAACAAAAGTCGTCCTGTCAACAGCGTCGATCGGGGGTGTTCTAATCTTCCTCTCATCAAATTCATGGCTCGGTGCTTGGAAAGGGTTGGAGATTAATATCGTTCCGCTAGCATCCTCACAAGAAAATATCTGCGCCATTGAAGCTTCATTTGATGAAGTATACACGAAGTTAAGCAATTAATTATACTTTTTTTATTGCTAGTGGGGTGGGACTAAGTCCCTTGCACTGCGGCTACTTCTGGCCTGTTGTACCAGCCCCAGATGATAGCTGAAGGTGATTGTGGAGCGATAGGTGAAATGAAGATTGGCAGGGGAAACGGAAGTACTCGGAGAAAACCTGCCACAGCGCCACTTTGTCCACCACAAATCCCACTTGACC